GCTCAAAGGAGTAGGGCATCGGCCCCATATGCTGGAGGTGGCAGGTTCAAACACAGCCCCGGCCAAAAATTGAGCAGAAAAAAGTGCTACCTCCTAAAGACCCTATATACCAAAATGTGCTCTAATTACCAGTTAGGTTTACTTGCAAGTATATGGAAATCCTGAGTATCTTTAACTTCTTAATTAAACATGTGAAAGCAAAACTTCATCACCCTGTGTCTAATAAACTCTCCTCAAACAATAAGGTCTTCTTATGACTACAATTGCATAAACATTGGGAAAAATAAAAATGTTACATAAAAAGAATCAAAACCTCTTGATTCTAAGCAATCATCTTCCTGTCATCACAGAAATACTTCCTAAAATATACTGCTCAGCCAGGCACAGTGGCTCACACCTGTAATCCTAGCACTTTGGTTGGCTGAGCCAGTAGGATGGCTTGAACTCAGAAGATCAAGACCAGCCTGAGCAACACAGGGAGAATTCATCTCTACAAAAAGCATAAAAACTGCCAAGCATGGGGGTAGTTCCAGTTATGTGGGAGGCTGAGGCAGGAGAATCTCTTGAGTCCAGGAGTTTGAGTTGCTGTGGGCTATGATGATGCCACCGAACTTTGACCCAGGTAACAAAGAAAGACACTGTAAAAATATACGTGTGTATGTACATATCAATATGGTTCATTTTAAGAGCCTATCTCATAATTTAACCATTTTTACTTTCAAAATATCCTCTAAGGCTCGGCGCCTGTGGCTCAAGTGGCTAAGGTGCCAGCCACATACACCTAAGGTGGCGGGTTCGAATCCCCAGCCCAGGCCCGCCAAACAACAATGATGGCTGCAACCAAAAAACGGCCAGGCGTTGTGGCGGGCGCCTGTAGTCCCAGCTACTTGGGAGGCTGAGGCAGGAGACTCGCTTGAGCCCAGGAGTTGGAGGTTGCTGTGAGCGTGATGCCATGGCACTCTGCCCAGGGCGATAGCTTGAGGCTCCGTCTCAAAAAAAAAAAAAAAAAAGAAATCCTCTAAAAAACAAATCTTTGCTTTTTCTTGAACATATCTCCTTTAGTTATTACACTGCTTTCACAGCCATGCTAATATATGGCTCTCAGTTTTATCTGAATGCTAAATAAACTTAACTCATTTTTTTCTTATTGAGAGAGAGACAGAGTATGTCTCACTGCCATGCTGGGTAGAGTGCCAGGGCATTGGTCTAGCTCACGGCGACGTCAAACTCTTGGGCTCAAACGATCTTCCTGCCTTAGCCTCCTGAGTAGCAGCTGAGACTATAAGCATGTGCCACTACCCTCAGCTAAATTTTTCTATTTTTAGTAAAGATAGGGTCTCACTCTTGCTCAGACTGGTCTGGAACTCCTGAATTCAAGCAATCCACCTGTCTTGGCCTTCCAGAGTGCTAGGATTACAGGCATGGGCCACCGTGCCAGGCCTAACTTACTCATTCTTCATTGTTTACTTCCAACACTAGTTTCATTTCCACACCTTTGATACCTTTCATCAGTTTTCTATTTCTCTTACAGTATATTTCTTTTATTCAAACTCAATGTAACTGTCCTGGGATATATCAATATTGTTAAAAATAAACACAAATTAAAATCAAGTATCAGGCCTAGAACAGGTGAGCAAAACACATGAGATGCTATTTCTTCCAGGAATCTAAAGGGACTAAATAGAGTGATCCTGCTATACTGGCAAGAAGCAACACTGCTCATGCATTCAACTCCGCAGGTTACGGTGGCCCCGGAAGGAAGCACTCAATAGAAGATGACAGCCAGGATCCACTTCTCCACAGTAAACACAATCCTGGGCACCACCACTCATCATGTGCCAGAGCAGTGGCTCTCAACCCAGATGATTCAACATCCCAGAGGGAGACTTTTTTATTGTCATGACTTGAGAAGGTGGGGCTTACTTGGCATCCAGTGGTAGACACCAGGGATGCTACAAAACAGCCATGCTGTACAGGACAGTCATCACAACCAGAATTCCTCAGCCAGAAATGTCAATAATGCTGAAGTTAAGAAATCCTGATCTAGACATCTGGACTAGAGGCACCACAGTGGTATGAAAGAACCATGGTATTAGGAGAGCAATGGAACTAAAACTTATTGATTACCTGCTTCGTATCAAGTATTGTATTAGTCACTTTACATATATTACCTTCACTTAAACCTCTACACTGTGAAAACAAGGATATATGTTGATTTTACACAAGAGAACGCTAGACTCAGGGAGGTTAAGGCACTCAAGATCATTCAGCTAGGAAGGAGAGGAATCCTGATACAAATTCAAAGCAAAATCTGTTTCACTCCACACTACTACAAAGCCTAGAAGTTAAAAGACCTAGATTTGATTCAAAGTGTTACCAATATGACTTTGAATAAGTCACTTACTTTCCCTAATTTCCATTTTAAAACTAAGGCACTGGATAACATGTGAAAATACAAATGTTGCTTTTTGCTAAACACATAAAATCATGTTAAATAATTTACAACAAAAGAGAAGTGCTAGGGCAGTGCCTGTGGCTCAATGGGTAGGGCACCAGTCCCATATACCGAGGGTGGTGGGTTCAAATCCAGCCCTGGCCAGCTAAAACAGCAGTGACAACTGCAACAAAAAATAGCCAGGCATTGTGGCGGGCGCCTGTAGTCCCAGCTACTCGGGAGGCTGAGGCAAGAGAATCGCCTAAGCCCAGGAGTTGGAGGTTGCTGTGAGCTGTGACGCCACCATGCTCTACCCAGGGTGATAAAGTGAGACTCTGTCTCCAAAAAAAACAAACAAAAGAAGTGCTTCTTCTAATGAAAATGTTGTAAATACAACCCTTAAAAACAAAATTTATACAAGTGTGCACAACACCAAATTATCTGTCTTTTTTTTTTTTTTTTTTTTTTTGAGACGGAGTCTCAAGCTATCCCCCTGGATAGAGGGCTATGGCATCACACTCACAGCAACCTCCAACTCCTGGGCTCAAGCAAGTCTCCTGCCTCAGCCTCCCAAGTAGCTGGGACTACAGGCGCCCGCCACAGCGCCTGGCCATTTTTTGGTTGCAGCCATCATTGTTGTTTGGCGGGCCCGGGCTGGGGATTCAAACCCGCCACCTTAGGTGTATGTGGCTGGCGCCTTAGCCACTTGAGCCACAGGTGCCGAGCCTCTGTCATTTTTAAGAATAAGGATTAAATGTTCAGAAGACATTCTTTCATAGTCATACAACTATTCTTAAATCCCAAGAAGAAATAAACTAATATAAACAACTGTTTAGTATAAATAATTTTAATCAATAAAACTGCTCATAACTGTATCAACAACTTTGATTAGGCTCTCTTCACAAGTGCTGGTAGAGGTTGTGAGTGGAACTACGGAGAAGGAGGATGGATTGCAAATTCATTAACAATTCTGGCAAACACCCCTACTTACTATTCTGTCCGCATAGATGAGGTACTGGATTATGTCAAGGTCCACATGTTATCATCACTCATATTAATGATGCAAAAAATAATTCATTTCAAGATTAGGTCTGATTAAAAACAAAACAATGCTCAGTAGAATCTACCAGTCTTTTGACACCAAACCAATTCTTCTGGGATTAAGTTCAAGAGATAATGTAACCTGGGGTTTGTTCTCCAGAAATCACCACTACCTATGCAACTTCTAGAAGCAGCATGCACACAACCGTTTTTCCCTCTGGAAACAGCTGAATCTCAAAGCAGGGAACTGCTGTGTTTTATAAATGCATCTTTTTAAACTATATTAATACAGTGTAAATAAATTACAATTGCAATTATTTCCCATTGGTATTAAGTCTAAGTTTAAAAGCAATAAACACATCAAACAAACCCAAAAAAATTTGAAATAAAAATAATTTCAGAAGAATCATACAAAAAAATGCCTTTAAATAAATAATGCGGTGTTTACCTGACACTCAAAAAAAAAAAAAAAAAGAGAGAGAGAGAGAAACAAACAGATACTGGTGGAAGTGAAATAATTAATTATAATCCCGAATGTTGTTTTTATTTTAGTCAACTTATTAAAGATTTTCATTAAATGTCATTTTACTGACTTTTTCTGAATTACATCTTTCACCTTAAGCATTTTGACATTTCCATCAACTTTCTAAAAGTGAGGGTGGATTGTTTTTCTGTGTTTTTAACAGACGTGCCTCTCAAAAGACTAAATTAGATAAAAACTGATGAGAGAAACCAACTATTAACCTCCCCTGCTCGTCAGCACCCGCGAGTGGGCGACAACCTTGAGGAATTTACATCAGACGGTGGTGATTCCTCCACATACGGGGACACCTGTCAACTTTTTACTTTACAGACCTATGTAACATAATGATTATTTTCTAACTTCCAGGAGCCAAAATCATGAGTCTATTTTTCTATTTCTCCCAAAATAGCAGGATTCTCCTCAGGGGTCGGAATGCTCTTTGCCTTAAATAATGATTATTAAATAATAATAATGATTATTTTCTAACTTCCAGGAGCCAAAATCATGAGTCTATTTTTCTATTTCTCCCAAAATAGCAGGATTCTCCTCAGGGGTCGGAGTGCTCTTTGCCTTCCCGCACGGAAGGCTCACTGTCCAGCCGCACTGGCCGCGTCCCGGGGACGGGGTATTTCCCTGCCCCCCGACAGGCCTGCGCGCATCACACCCGGCTCGCAGCCAAGCGCCCGGACAGGCCGCCGCCGCCGCCCGCGCAGCCCC